CCCCCCCCCCCAATTTTTATTCAATTTTGCTGTGTTTAGGGGAATGGAAGGCTTTTATTTCCAATACAAATCTAATAGAAAGCTACACCCTTAATAAAAGGTAAAATTGTGAGTGTGTGTCACAAAGCAGCTGTTGGCAGGGGAAGTCTGGAAGCGCAGCGTGTATACGCTTCTGTATCTCCACAGCTCCCTTGCTGAGGTGTGAACGTCTTTGACTTTATTTGGGAAATCGGTTTCCAACTAGTGAAATTGTTACTCAGTTAACATATGGCAGTTTTGGTTTCCTTCCACATTCCTGACTATTATTTTGATGCATAATAGCGTGCATTGAATAATATGTACTCCTGCCATGATAGCAGTTACCTGCCCTGATTAGAAATAAGCAGGAAGATTGAAAAGTCAGTCATTTATCCATACTATAAACATGGCTTTATTATATTAAGGTAATGTTATTTGAATAGAGATTGTCTATTAGCCTGACTGTAACGCTGTTAGATAAAATTCATTCAAGTCACTAACGCCTGTTCTCCAGTGTACAGCACAATGTCATCCAAAAGCTTCAGGTAATTAATTTCACTAATGATGACTGAAAATATAGGCGACTTGTTCCTACCTGTTTCCTGGTTTTGGTCACTAGTTGAGGCCAGTAGGAGACCTGAATTGAAAGGATCTCAGAAGTGTTTCAAAGACTGGACTGGTTTTGATCTTCCCTGAGGTGAATGAGGATTTGTGGTGCTTTCAGGCTTACCTGAAGCCAGGAGAGCATCTCAGGTATCTCATCCTTCCGGCAGAGACATTCATACGGCACAGATATGCCCTGAGAAGGTGATATGTTCCACTTAGCAAAGAACAACCGCTTGTGTTAGACCTTTGCTTTGGTGCTGAAGTTTCATGATAGCTTTGACAGGAAGCAGACATGTCCCTTAACTCCTCTTCTTTTCCATCTTGACAGACAGCTCTCATTAGTCCTATGGTGCCCTCGACTGCAGACATGGATTGCTTGAGGAGATCCACTGCTTTTAGTTTTTTTATCTCCATGGAGATAGAGCTCTCCAAGCTTGTTGACTTTACTGACTCACCTCAACTTACCATGCCGCAGACCAGGGAGACTTTGTTAAATAAGGGTTTGATTCACAAGCTGTGTGATCAGGCTTATAGTGAGAAGCAAAACAAATACAAATCCTACTTCTTGCCTGTGCTTGATAATGGGATAAATAAATAGGAAAGCTGTTTGATAGTCGCTAGGAGACTGCTGAGAAACCACTCTCCAGCTCGTAAGTACAGCTGTGTTTTAGACAGCTCTCGCTGTCCTACCAATCCTTGCATAATTTCTAACAGATTTTGGAAACAAATCTGGGTGCCAATCCAGGACGATTTTGAGTTATTTAACAGGGATTTCCCTATTTCCTCCCTGCCTTTGTCTCCCATTTGCTTCATGAGTTCATCAACTAAGGGATGTGCAGATAGTTATGCTATTAGTAACTATTCTTGGCACTTCATACTTTGGCAGTCGCCTACCTTGTCTTTGGTCTGAGAATGGATGTTTTTCATCCAGTCTGAGCTATCAGCTTTGCTCTGGGGGATCGATACACCCCTGTCGAATGTAGACTGCATCAGTTGTAGCAGAGCATATGACTTCTGACAAGTTAAGGGGATGATGCATAAGGTGTACATGTAACAGACCTGGTCCAGGTGTCTTATCCAAGCTGCTTTCTGGTCTATAATTGTGCAGGTTGTAGAGGAGCATGGGGACCTGTGTGTGGCAGGAAGAGGTGTATTTGTTTATTCTACAAGCTTGTTATGTTCTTTGTGTAATTTTGTTGTACTATTGTAAACTATAAATGCTAATTTACATGTATTCTGATAAAATAATTTATAGCATTGAAGTTGCAGTTTTCAGATAAATGAAACTCCTTTTTCTCAATATCACTGGAAAATTTCTGCTCTCTCTTTCGTGCAATCTCTTTATTTCTCTTCTCTGCCCTGTCTGCCTACCTTGCTGTACCGAGATGTGTGACTGGTTTATGTTTAGCATTTCAACCTCATTACAGCCCTTTCGTTGCCATGCGCTGTTGAGGTGACTGATGCTTTTCAACATGTTACTAATTTGTGGCTTTGCGTATACTTTGTACATTCATGTATTTCTTGTTCTTTATTCCAGAGATGGTGATGTTGCTGGAATGGTGGTCAGGCACCAATTGCACCCTCTACACTGACCCAGAGAGTTACCACAAGTATGGGAAGGAGAATGCCATCGTAATCCTTAATCACAACTTTGAAATCGACTTTCTCTGTGGTTGGAATTTTTGTGAAAGATTTGGGGTCTTGGGGGTGAGTTTTGGTTAGCATTTGAAATGAACTTCCTCTTCTTGGATGCAAAAAAAAACGAAACAAATTCTTTGTGCTTTTGGAAGCTAACAGATCTGTCCTCAAATTTCGCTCAGCCAGTGTCCAGACTTAGAGAGGCGAACTTAAAGCAATGCGGTGCAAGTATGTGGAATGCTGCGACAGGATTGCTTGGGCATTCACAGAAATTTTAACAGCATTGCAGTGAAAGCTGATGAAGGAGGTATTTTTTTAACCTGTGGACATCATTTCAGTTGTTTTTCTCTGTGTGCTTGCTAGGTAACTCTTGTGGTTCATTGTGCTACAGAAAGATGAGCTATTCTGTGATTCTTTCCCAGTAAATTGTAGGATTTGTCTGCTTTCTCCAGTGTAGTCTTACAAATCCGCAGCTAGAGTTTGCGTGACGTAGTCTCTGTCTCTCAGAATTGAAGAGCTGCCATCTCGAGTGAAAGCAGTAACCAGACTATAGCTAGTAAGAGGTGGGGGAGGAATGAGTTATCCATAGTTGAGTACACTATTACATTATACGATGACTCGTATAACTGGAGAATTAAGCTAGGAGCATGTGTGCATTTGTTTTCAGGGTGGATTTTTTGTTTTCCCTGTCAACTCATGGGGATGATTAAGTCAAGCCACCTGGACAATTCCGTGATGGTGACAACATTCTCTACCAACAAGGGATATAGAGAAGAGTTCCTCTCTCCTAAGAAAGCAGACTGATACTTCATTTTGGCAGTCTTCTGCAACATCCTCTTCTAACTTTGCTACTGGCCAGTGGCAAAAGTCCTGCCCTTGAGCTTGTGTAAACCTGTGACGTTTTGTGGCTTTTGCTTTGGGCTCTGTGCATTTTCTGGGTGTTTAGGCACCACACCAGTCACTTTGACATTATAATAATGACAGTCTGCTTAAAAAAATAAAAAGAGGCCTTAAAACTGAAGGAAAATGAACATAAGCATTAGAAGCCCTGCATATTACTGAAATGGTTGTTGACTCCTGCTTACTGAGGAGCAATTTGACTGTCATGTCTAGGACTTGAGCCCAGAGCAGGAGCATAACATGAGACAGCAGGAGATTTTTTTAGGGAAAACTTTTCCTGGCAAGCAGGTATATATGCCAAAAAACATTCTCCCTTCTATGTGCTCATTATACAGTGGTGCTTTAGTATAGTTTATCTAGTTTTGTATGCCTAATGACTACAGTTCTCTAAACAAAGCTGTGTTTTAGAGGGTCAGGTGCTTCTTCAGAAAGCATCATTGTTGAAAATTAAAGGATTATTTCTGTACAAACTATAGGAGCCTCCAAGGTCAAAAATATCTTGTTTTATGTTGGTGCTGTGTGGTTGGATTGAATGTCATTAACTTTAATGATTTTTTTTTTTTTATAGTTCGGGATTGTGTTTTAGTTTTTTTATACTGTTCCCTACATGTAAGAAAACCACTACGTGAAAGCATAGCCGTTGGACAATTACTGTGCTGCACTAACTGAAAATAATCTTTCCTGTATTTAGATGATTACAAGTATTTCTCAGTTTGTATTTTTGCTAATCTTAGGATTCTTTTAGGAACTGATACATGTTTTTTATTTTTATTATTTTTTAAACTATTTCAGTCTTGAGAAATGTACTGTGGTTTAACTTTCCAGAAACTGTTCCAGGAAAAAATAGTTCCCATGTCTTTACACAGCAAAGCAGTGTGTTTCCCTGCTGGGGCTACCAGTTGAGGTTCATATTTAATAACCAAGTTTAAAAAAAAAAAAAAGGAAAGTTAATACACTATCAGTTTCCTGAAATGGATTGTCTGTATTGGCATACTTGACTTGGGGCAACGCAGAAGTGGATGAATATGGAAGCATGGGGAGGTGTAGCTTGGTTTGACTTTGTGCTGCCTTACACACATTTGCAGTGTGCATTGCTTCAAGGTTTGGTGTGGCAGCACAATCAGGAATGTAAGAACCATTATGTTGAGGGCTAGTCTTGCTCTGTCTTGAGCAGAGGCTAAAAGTGGATGTTTGGGGAACGAGGTACAAGAAAAAGGCAAGTGTCCAGAGAGATTTCTAAGTGATGTCCCAGCCTCCAGCATTTTGTGGCGGCCCAGGGACTTTGTGAGCAAACGGGGTTTTGTATTTAATGCTGTTTAATTTTATACACCATGAAGTTTCTATGCAAACTTTAGATATCTGCCAACATCTTACTAAGCTGATCCACTGCTGCTGAAAAGGAAATCTTGCATATGCCATCCTGTCTCCTGCATCTGTTCTAGTGTTTGTCTGCCCTGTGTTGGCATGTTTCAGACACCTCCCTCTCTCTCCTTTCTTAACTAATCCAATGAAAAAGGAGGTGACTGGGAGGGGGAAGAGGGTGAAGGTGAAGACAACTTACTGCCAAAGGGGTGGGACTGATTATGCTTGGCTGCAGCAGGCAAACAGAATGGTTTTGTTGTAATGTCCAGCTGTACCCTGGAGCCCTGGCAGGCAACGGCAGTGCTCTTAACAGGGTTCCAAGTGTGTGTCCAAACTCTCAGTATTTTACAGCTTGAACTTTTAATAAATGAAGCCAATAAGAACTGTATTTTCTTTGCTTGGTTTTGCTCATTTAAAACCAAAATTAAACTTCCTTAAAATTTTCTTGCCCCTTCTGGCCCCATAAGAAAAAAATCTTTCCTTTTTCCTCTATGTTTTTAATCATGACATGTAAACCGTCCCTCCTGGTCTTGGATGCAACATTCAATCTATGCATTGTTCTGCTCCTTCTTTTGTTTCTCTTCTGTAGTACTGGCTTTCTCCTTATAGCCAAATTGCCACAGTCCCAACAGGTTTATAATGCTCTATGAATGTGGTTTTTATTTTATCAATGTGGTTTTGCTTTTTTCCTGTTTGCAGGGGTTGGGGTGGGGATGGCATAGTCTCTTGCATGTTGTTGTTTGATTTGTGAACCTGAGTCGTCTTCTAATGACTCAGATCTTGTACTTTTATGGCATGAGATTCTCTGCTTTCACAAAGATTTTTAAATGACTGTGGAAGAAAATTGAGCAAAAATAACCAAAGGAGATTCTAAGAATATAAGCAGTGTGTGTGTGGAGGAGAGGGGAAAAAAAAAAAAAGAGAAAAAAAAAGCAATTCTAACATTTATTTTACTTTTTGATTTTGTCTTTAATATGATACTTTTGGAGCACCTATTGAAAATGCCAGGAGGTATTTGTTGATAGTACTGAGTGAGAGCCAGAGATCTATTCATTTATAGTGGAGAAGTAGAAAACCATATCAAGAAGCAATTCTATGCTCACTTTTACTCTTGCAAGTTATTGTAGCCGCTGAAGTTACTGATGTTTAATTGTCTGCAGCACCACCACTTAGTAGATTTTTGGTTGCTTTTGGAAATTAGCAGAAGGAAGCAAACCACAAAAACTAGAAGTTGACAAGGATTTCAGGCAAACCTGTGTTCTGCCCAAGCTATTAATGACTTGCATGTGTATTCCACTTGTGGTTTTTTGTGAAGGGATCTTCCTGTTTTAAGTCCTTGACACCCATCAGCCATATGTACCTGCCTCCTTGTGCTGCTAGACCTTGGTGATGTGCACAGGAAAGAGGGAATATAGGGGTCCTAGATGCAAAGTCAGCATCATGCTACCTTGGGCATCATGGACATCCACGGAGACGGCTGAGTCCTGACTCCTCCTGACCCAGAGGTGGCTGCAATAAGTTGCAAGGGAAGGAGGAACCGCACTGCCAGTTTGACTTTCTGTAGAGTCGGAAACAGCATAGCCCCAACAGGATGGAGCTTTGTCCATGCCAGTGTTTCCTAATAAATGGCAGGGCTGTTTGTATGATCCTAAGCCAGGGTGACTGATGGCTGTGTTGTGGATGGTTTGCTTTTCTGCCCCATGCCAGTGCAAAGGCTAGGGAAGATGCCAACTCTAGTGTCTGTGTGTCGCTCTGTTATGTAAATAGAGACGTGGTCTTGGTGACACGTCCCTGCACTCTGCTGTGCCCTTCCTTTTTCCTGCCTGTAACATTCTGGTCATAGGACTTACCTTCTTAGTGGCAGACAGCCTAGCTACTGTATCAGAATTTAACACAGTAGTTGCATTTAGTTTCTTTAAGGTGTGGCTAGGTGACCCTTTGACAACAGACCCATTGGACACAAAGACTTGAAATGAGGACATAGGCATGTGAGGAGGGAGGTGTTATTCAGGACTTACACCAAAAGCACATTAGTATGCTCCCTGCCAGGATTCACTGTATCCTTCTGCTTCATTGCTTGATCTGACCAATCAGTGATAAAATAGCTTTTTTAGTAATTTTGGTAACGCTTTTTCTGAGATGAAGATATTTATATTAGCAAAAATGGCCTGTGCTTTGAAGCTAAACCTACTGGTTTAGCTGTTCATCTTCTGGTGTCCTGAGTTTCAAGTTATTAATGCTGTTGGTCTTTTTACCTTGGCAAAACATAAGCGTTATTCTGAGTGGCTCATTATATTGGCATCAAAATATGTGCATTTCCAAAAGAGGCCATAGTTGTTTATTCCTTGGCAGGGTAGATGAGGCAGAAAACCTTTATGCAAAACTAGTTGTTAACTGTCTTGCTTTAAGTTTCTCGTAAAAAATTGTTAAGCAAATGTAATAATTTTTAACCCTAACTATCTGTTCTGTATGTCAAGACCCCCAAATTTATTTAAAAGTTGTTTATGTTGAAGCTTGCTGTTGGAAAAACTGAGCATGCCCTTAAACATAGGTGTGAGAAGAGACTTTTGCTAGGTTAAGTTGCTAAGCCATTATTCATCATATTTGAGAAGTTGTGGTAGTCTGGTAAAGTTCTCATTGACTGGAAAAAGGGAAACACAACCCTCATTTTTAAAAAGGGAAAAAAGAAAGACCCAGGGAACTACAGGCCAGTCAGTCTTACCTCTGTGCCCAGCAGGATCATGGAGCAGATCCTCCTGGCAATTGTGGTCTCCAGAAAAGCTGGAGAGGGACTTTTTGCAAAGGTGTGTAGTGATGGGACAAGGGGAAATGGCTTTAAACTGAAAGAGGGCAGATTTCTATTAGATCTAGGCAAGAACTTCACTCTGCAGGTAGTGAAACACTGGAACGGATTGTCCAGAGAAATTGTGGCTGCCCCATCCCTGGAAGTGTCCAAGGCCGGGTTGGATGAGGCTTTGAGCAACCTGACTTAGCAGAAAGTGTCCCTGCTCCTGGCAGAGGAGTTGGAACTAGATGATCTTCAAGGTCCTTTCCAACTCAAACCATTGTATGATTCTATGATTACTAGGTGTTATTGTATGGGACTAATAGGTGTATGAACATAGTAGTTCATTTGTGTATTTTAATATATTATTAGAAGTTATGCAATTGTTCACGTAAGCAGTCAAAACTATGCTATTATTTGTATTTAACACAACATCTTAGCATATGCTTAGGCACACATCCTTTAAAATATTCCCGCGTTACCTGTATGGAAAAGTTTTATTCAATATGAAGCATTAGAAATCAGGAGCCTAACTAAATTTCTGGAACTGTGGCTTTGAGGGACTAAAGAAACATATCTTTCCCTCTTGATGTCCCAAAGAGTGTAATATGAAGGAGTGCTATATTTGAAAAATAGAACAAACAGAATAATCAAAAGTATGTCAGTGCTTAGGGCAGCCTGGAGAACAAATAATTTACAAGGCAAATTGGTGCTGCTAATGATTTGCAGCTACAATGATTTTTGTTTTGAAACTGTGGAACAAATTTTGTTAGACACCCTCAGCTTGCAGAGTGGTTTCATACTGTTTGTTACACTCTGTGATCGTGAGGTGTTGAATAACTGAAACTGGACATACAAATTAAAATACTTTTTTGTTTCTGTGACAGTATAGTTGTGCAAATGCATCTAATGTAAGCTTGTCAAAATAATATTTTTTTTTTATGTGATGTTAGTGCAATCATTCACAAAAGGAGAACTTCATGGGTATTTCCTATCTGAACAATGGCCAAAAGAAATTAACCTGGGTTAAAATGCTATTATTGTAGACAAGTTGTCCCCATCCAGCAGTAATGTCATTAAACATGTGTTGGAATTCAGTTCTGAGCACTGAAAACGTTTGACTTCCTTCAAGAAGGCAGCTTACATGGAATAAATCAGCACTTTTAAATGAAATTTATTCTGTTGAACAAGCTGAATTTGAAGGTTAGAGGTAACTGTCACATATTTACCAAAGCACTTTGGTAAAGGAAAAGTTAGTGGCCGGAGTCAACTAGAGCCGCATTTTTCCTCTCAGGTATTTACACAGGAGCTGTGCATGAGTAGACGATGAAACAGAAAAGATTCTAGCTCTAGTTATTGTAAGAGAGACAGTAGCTTCCAAGGGGAGACCTAATGTATTCCTTCCGTACGAGAGCAGTCGTGGCAGCATAATGCACTGAAGCGTTTCCTTTCTCTAATTAGTTCTGTGTCACTTGCCTTCCTTCTACTCCTGGGATAGGTGGGGTGCACAAAATAGCATAAGGTGGTTTAGTTTATTTTTATGTGCATCTAAGGAGTCATACACTCACATGTCTGAAAGAGCGCTTTCAAATTTTAAAAATGTGTTGGCACCGAAAATGAATAAGAACATGCCCTGGGGAAGAATTCAAACATCTCTTCTGCTTTTGTGGTTATACCTTCACTGCGTGACACCTTAGCTCACAACATCATTTCTTTGTTTCACAGGGGAGAAAAAAAGAGTGGCAAATTCTCTCCTGCTGCTGTTTAACTCATATGCTTTTTAAAATATGCAAAACATTAGAAAATAGCTATGGCTAAATTGTTACTTTAGCTTGCTTTTTGGACTAGGAGTCCTGCATTTTAAAGTCTGTGAGGGAGGACTATAAGATTGTCTTTTCTGACTCTGTGCTCTGAGGGCCTTGTACATCCTATGCAGGGCACACTTAACATTTGTTTATGGTGGTCTTCAGCTCCTGAACACTTACTGTAAATAAACCTGAAGAGCATGTGTTTTTGTCCATTTTTGGGAGGTGACACTGTTGCTGTTTACCTCATTGTGCAGAGGCTTGCACTAGGCTGTGGCCGAGGGCTGCCCTGGTTGTGGTTGAGGCGGGCAGTAGTTCCCTAAGGTTCCAGCCCTCCCGGCTCAGCTAGAAACACTTTGCATCCGTTGGAGTTTCTTGAGTCAAAGCCTTGGCTCAGCTGTCTTCCTCAGGCATATAGGGGGGAAGGGATGGAAGAGCATATGAACTGGTCTGTGTGCTTTTAGCAGAAGCTGTACTGTACATGGCCTACAACAAAAAATGCTCTTTGGAGGCTTTTAAAGATATGTGCTAGAACTAGTTGCGTTTGTGTTGGAAATAAGGAAATTACTTGTATTAAGAGTAACTGAGAAAAGGAAAAACAGTAGGGTGGGGAAAAAAAACAGAGAGCTAGGAAAGTGGTAGGAGGAGAGCCTATTTCTCTGTGGCGAGTTTGGGAAGCTGGAAGAGGAGTCTGGGCTCTGCGTTGCTGCTCCCATGTAATAGGCACTAACGTCCAACATGGCTTGAAATTGAAATGGTAGAAAGTGTACTGAATCCTCTAGCTGCCAAATCCTCCAGCTTCCTCTTGAGGGAAAGCTGGGTTTGGAGTCCTGACCAGAGCCCATTACTGAAGTTCTTGAAATGACCAAGAGGGAATGCTTTACTATAAAGTGTTAAATCATTTGACAGAGATGATTTCTACATTCTCAGAAATGGAATTGTCTCATGTCCTCTTCTGCTCTGCTTCTGTGTAACAGTTGCTAGTGAAGTTATGTCATCTGCACTTGCCTTCCAGTCTTATGAGCTTTTAGACAGCCTAATTATTTATGGTATTTTCCTCCTCAAGGAATGAGTGCAGATGAGAGAAATGAGCTGAGATAAAGAATTAGGTCAAGTCTCTTCCCCTAGTAACCAAATGGACAACAGTGACCAAAACATAAAGGCAAATAGTTTCTGTTCATGGTAATTTCTACCAGTAAATAATTCCTACTAGTCAAATGTGACGTGAAACCTGTCTGCAGAGCACTTTCATGAGATGGCTTATAATGATATCATAGACAAAAACTGGACTGTAATTTATCTATCTATCCTCTAGGAAAATGTCACTTTTTCAGGAAGTGCTGAAGCAAGAATTTTTATACAGACATGTGTGTGCCATGTTATTGATTAAATAACAAAGTGAAAGGTAAGACAGCTCAGCAAGGTGGGCTAACTTGGAAGACAGGAAAGGGTCAAGTGGAAACAGTTCTCCTATCTTAAAGGAACTTGAGTTGCCACTGCCTAGGGTCTGCTTGAAGTAAGAATTTAATTTTATGTGGCTCAGGTCTTTTGCATGGATTCCTCAGTGTTTTAAGGAATTTGGCCTGTGTTTTGTATTTCAGGGTTCGGGCAGGATAGATACATACAGACACATATACATGCGTATATTTGTTTAATTCTGGAAAACTACTTTCATGCAGATATCTGAGATCAGATTTAACTATTCCATCATATGAGGAAAACTTCTTTTTGTTTGTTTTGCTTTTGCACTGGTGTTAAAAACTGGGACTGGTCAATATGAATCAATATATTAGTGTTTAACTGTGCATGTGTCATACCCACAGAGAACTCTTAAGTGGTATAACTCTATTTTACATGCTTTGCCTTTGTCTTGCAGAGTTCCAAAGTGCTTGCAAAGAAGGAGCTCTCCTACATGCCTATCATTGGCTGGATGTGGTATTTCTTAGAGATAGTCTTCTGCAAGCGTAAGTGGGAGGAAGATCGGAAAACAGTCATGAAGAAGTTGCTGAATCTTCGGGACTACCCTGAAAACTTTTGGGTGAGTGACAACTAACAAGTGGAGTGCCAGGTGCTGTAGTGCTTGTGAGGGATGAAAGGCATAGACAATATGTGATAGTCACCAGGTTGCTCCTGAGAACTTTGATTCATGAGCTTCTTGGCAGTATCGGGAGAGTATTCTCTAAGAATTGAATTCTCTCTTGAATTTCCCATGTGATTGTCTTATCTGTTTTCTTCCTCGGTAGTATGGAGCCCTACAGATGATATTGCAAAAATACCTCCACTGTGATCCATTCAGTAAACTTTGTGGTCCTCTAAATACAGGAGCTGGAGAGGGGTAGATGCAGAGGTTCATGGCAGTGTAACAGATGCATGTGACAATGTTGTACTGAAACACGTTAGCTGAAACACGTTAGCTGTATTCTTTACTTAAGCTCCCCTCTCATCTTAGATCGCAGAGTTCATACCAGTATTTTTTCCTTCTATTTCCCTGTGATTCTGCCATTCCTGTGAAGGTGCTAAGTCAGACATGGCCCAGTAGAAGTGGAAGCCACAGATAAGTATCTGATCAGAGAAGTGGCCTCTAGGGCCATCAGCTGTGTTTCAGGGAGAGGACTGGTGTCACCTTCAGTAACAGGAAAGTGTTAGTTTTTGCATCATCATTATTTTTTGTATTGAGCCTGCCTGGCATTTCCTAGATGAAAAGCCTTTGAATTTTTTCTCTTCTCAGTAATCAGAAAACTCCTAGTTCTCGTGAGCTGGTGATGGCAAGAGAGAGAGACGGTTAAGAAAATGGTACCTGAAGAAGCCTACAGAAATTATTGCTTAAGAAGCAGTTTCCTAGCGAAGATATAGATGCTGTATCTCTTATTCTCTGAAATAAAACGTGATCTTTTTTGGCATCGATTTAAATGAACGCTAGGCAACTGAAACTAAGCTCTGTGCTTGGATAACGGTTAAATGACTTCCAGGCAGGAGGCTGTGTAGCAAAGGGACAATTCTTGGTTTCTAGTAGTCTCTCTCACAGGGATTCGCCTGTGCTCTGTGACTCTTAAAAGGTGTTGAATGCCTTTTGTACACCTAGGCAGTTCAGCTCGTAATTGTTGAGCACAGACTGCCAGTATTCTTTATATACTGCTGTAGAGGGATTACTAATAAGGAGCTATATCTGTAGTAAGAGATATAGAGTTGTTGATGTACACCTGGGATTATTGCAGTGTGGAGTTTTAATTTGCCCTTGTGTGGTGACATAATGTCAAAAGGCACAGCAATAGCACCTTGGAAGGTAGAAAGACAGAGCATGCTTAGTGGGATAGAAAGATTTTCTCATCAGTTTCTGTATGTTTTGTTGTCGTGACTGAACACCATGACCAGCTGCTCACTCACCTTCACCCACCCCTGGGGAAGGAGGATGAGAATTAAAGTGGAAAATGGAAGGACACTTGTGAGTTGACTTAAGAATAATAATAAAATTGAAAGTAATAGTGATAAAATAATAATTATATATATATAATTATGATAATAATATATACAAACAAGCGATGCACAGTGTAATTGCTCACCACCTGGTGACCAATGCCTGTCCCATCCCGGCAAGCAATCCTGGAACAGATAAGTCCTGACACCGCAATCCCTGATGAGTGAGAGGCCCGAATAGAGAGCCAGAGAGAGACAGAATGCCAAGAGACCAAGAGTCTGAGAGATTCCTCAGAACAGAGTTCACCAACTCCCTGATCAACCCTCATCTATGTACTGGGCATGACATTGCATGATGTGGAATACTCCATTGGCCAATTTGGCCCTCAATACTAAGTATAACTTCAAATCATGAGAGGAGTTGTGGGCTCTTACTTCCCCCCCTGTCTGTTGTGCTTCTGCACACTGGCAAACACATGGGAAGCTGAAAGGTCCTTGATGTCTCAGTACCATCTATAAACATCAGCACACTACTGACATTCTTCTCATAACAAATCCCATATTAAATGCAAAACACAGAGCTCTTCTAGCTGCTAAAAAGAAAAACTAACTGTCCCTGTCAAAACCAGAACATTATCTAGCTCTTTAACTCCTGTGATACATGAATAGAAGTGCTCTTAGATGAGCTGGAACTGAAGCTGGCTACTTGGCTAGTTTTCTTCAGTCTCTCTGTCTTTGTTGGCTAAATCTTTGCTGTGAGTTTTGGGGACTTAGCTTGTGCGATTTGACAATGCTCTCTTATGTATTAGTTTGCATTCAGGCTCGGCAGAAAGCAGACGAGCAAGTGGTAATTTCCAAAGATCTGTCTGCTCTCCCCAGTCTGCCAGTGGCAAAACTGTAATCATTAATGTCTGAATACTTTCACTGTGTAGTTCGTAAGGAGATGAGGCTTTTAGTTGTCCTGCATTTACTGCCTTACATGTTACCAGCTTGGTCATTGGCATCAAAGTTACTGTCTGCAGTTGTCAGTGGTCCTCATGCCATAGAGAAAGCAAGTGAGTCAGAGCGAGGGGAAGCAAGCTGGGCACTGAAGCATTGCTTAGAATGTGTTTGGTTTAGACACCTACCGAGTTTTAGATACCAAGACACGTGAGCACCTCACCATCCATGAGAGAGTTGCAGCAGGACGTATGTTTCAAGTGTTTTCTAACATCTCATTAGAGATGGAGTGACTCATTTAGAGAAATCAAGTCAGTCAGACAGCAAGTAGCAGAGCAGATGATAAAGTTCAAAGGGTAAAGTTCAAAGCAGAGGTTTGAACACAACAGTTGGATGGGTGGGGGCAATTCAGAGAGTTTGATTTTGGTTTTGGTTTTTTTGTGTGTTTTTGTTGTCGTTGTTGTTTTTTATTACTTCAGGGCAATTAAATTACCTAAAGGTGTATGTGGCTACACCTGTCCCTGGTAGGAGTGTTCATTTGTGCTGTGTTGGTGGGAATTAGAGATGCCTCTTGTCAGACAGATGTAGAAGACCTGAGCTGCTTTCTAACTGTACTTCTCTCTTCATTTTAGTTCCTGATTCATTGTGAGGGCACAAGATTCACAGAACAGAAGCACCAGATTAGCATGCAGGTAGCTGAAGCCAAAGGCCTGCCCAAGCTCAAGTATCACCTACTGCCACGAACAAAAGGATTTGCTGTCACTGTGCAGTGTTTGAGAAATGTAGGTAAGGAAAGTCACAAGGAACAACGCAAAACGGTTATTTCATGTAACTACTGTCACTTTGCCATGCTCTTCTTTTCCCTGTAGCATGTGTCCTAGCAGAAGAGCCCTGGGGTCCTTTGTGACCCTTCTTCCACTAGCCTGCAAGAATTAAAGATTAGGTTTTACTAACTGAAGTCCTGGGGAAACTTGGTTACTTTTCTTATTTTTTGTTTTCTGTTACTGTGAGTCTCTATTGGCGAATCTCAAATTGCATGTTTCATACGTATTGCCAAGGTACTATTCCTTAGTATTTACCAAGCAATTCTATTCCAAATGAAGCAAATACAGCACTAGAGAATCTGAAGCAGTGTGTCTTAAATATTTTCTTGTGATAAATATCTGCCTCAAATAACATAATTTTTAAATAAAAAAATATTTTGCTTTAAATTTCTGTGTAGATGTACTCTTTAGAGTTTCTTAGTAACCTTTGTGGAGCTTAGGAATGGGATTATACCTCAACTGAAGATACATGTAGGAGAAATTTATAAATAAATTATTTCTATATCACAGAACATAAGTGAGTTTTTCTTTGTTACTGTTATTCTGAACTCCCCACCTCCCAGTTATTTCTGGTTACTTGAATTTGCCAACTTTAAAGTGCCATCAATAAGAATATGGCACACATGCCTTTGAAGTGATCTTCTTTGACTAATACAGTCTCTCAAAATATTCTGCTGTGTACTTCATGGGCAAAGGAAAGAGAGTGTTAAGTAACCATAGTGCTACAGTATCTTTGGGGTTTGGTAGATCTGTGTGCTGTTAGAAGGCTGATAGGTAGAAAGGTAAAGTGGTTAGCGGTTTAGAAGAAAATGTTCTAGCTTGTCTGAAGTTAATGTCAAAGCTTCTTTTGTCTTTGAAGACGTGTTTTCACGTGGCATATCTGGGATAGCTGCTGTAAAAAAAGCTTTGTAGTCAGCTGTCTTGCTATCTGTCGTGTTTCTTCTACATATCCTTTTGCAAGTCAGGTAGATGATATCACTGTTGTAGCTTGTCAGGCATCTATGACTTCCTACTCCCAAAATGGAAAGCATAGCTTGGATCTTTTCTGATATGTGAAGAGGAAGTAAGTTGCGTGCAGCATCCAGCAACTCTGTTAAGAGCACAGTTTAACCTTCCTTTTTGAATAAGGGCGACTGTTTTGCTGAGGGCAGGGGGTGGTAGACTTGAGGCACTGAAGAAGAGCTGAGGCAAAACTCTGTGACCTCCAATGCCCTCAGCTGGAAATCAGGGGCAGGTTATTTTGGTGGTGATTTTTGTTCTTTTTCACTAGCTCTGTGTAAAGCAAGCAAAATATGGTAGCTGATTTGTGGAAAAAATGTTTCAAAAGGAATGAATTTTAGGGAACCTAAGTAACATTTATAAAAAGTTTTGGGCATTCATGTGATACACTCCAGTAACACTTTCTAGGATCCTGAATATTTGAAATACTTTCAGGAAAAGAAGACTAAGATTGCTAGATTATTTATGTACTTAGGGAAGTGTATGTTACTACCTCAGACCAAAAGCTGTGTCTTGCTACATCAAACAGGGTAAGGCTAATAAGTTAATATTTCTCTGTGAGAGTTCAAGGAAAAAAATAGAGTCAGAACAGAGAGCATTTGAAAGGCCTTTGTAAACAATATCTTATTTTTAGAGCTCCTTGTAACATTAATATGTACCTGTAACGAGGAAGTCCATAAATGTTTTTTGAATAGATAATGTAATGGAAGTCTGTCTTGACAGCCTATAATCTAGAAATGTAAGTTCTCTCTAGAAATGATTCCTTTCTTACATGAATACTGATAGGATTTGGCCACTTATCTCTGTTAACCTGCACTGACATTTGGTACCTACGTCATGAGCAGTAACATTTTGTTGTAGGTGTCAACATATGCAGAGGCTATATGCTGTAGTAATTTGGGCATTTTTTTTGCTTTTGAATATTTACATTGGGAAATAGTACTGTTTGACTTGTTCACTGTAAATCCCCCAAGTCTCTTTGTTGTGCTCTGCCTTATAACGTGGCCCAGAAAATGACTGTATCCCTCTATTACAGCCTCAAATTGCTTGTTCCAAACAGCATGAGTGTGACTGCTGAATTGCTGCTTTGTCTGCAGAAGAAGCAATGGCAACATGCAGATGTCCGTAACTTCAGTTCAGTGACATCTCTAATGATCTACAGGACTGACTCTTGCAGGCTGACCTGTCTCTCTTGTGGTACGATTCACATCCATTCCAGTGGCCGTCACTGCAGTAGGATGTCCCTGCACATCTCCTCCGAAAGGGAGAGATTGGTGCCAAGCTGCCTGAGCCAATTTTGGGGCTGCCACTTAGGCGAACGCGCTTTCTGCCCTGCATAAGGGGTGGTGGGCATGGCTGGAGCACCTTGCTGAGGGAGATAGCTGCAGCACGACATAGCAGTGAAGGCAAGCCAGATGTTTGGATCCAGTTCCAAGCTGGGTGTGACAGAGGTCAGCATGTCGGTTTCTTCTGCTCTTCTGACAAGGGTGTGATTCAGCCTGTCCCAGGCCGTAGTGCTGTAGGATGGGGTGGATGCTGGTTGCTGTAGCTGTAGAGGTGGTTCACCCACAGTAGCAGTCATCACATCTTGGTCCTCTTTGAGACTTTGTATCAATCGTTAATGCTACCTGCTGGGGTAGTTCTGTGTCTGTTGGAAATGGGTGTTGGTGACTTCGGTCTGGCCAGCCGATCTGTTCCGAAAAACTTAGCTTCAGAAGGAGTTTATGTAATGTGCATACATGGGAAACTGTTTCCATACCTGTCATATCTGTCAGCATAACCAGATATATTTGGATAAAAATGTCTTTCACACAAAATAACAAGTAAAGAATCTTCCCTCCTAACTCGTTTCCTTCATAAGTGATAATGGAATTCTTTTCTCCTCAGTGACTTTTCTTCCACAAATTCAGATCTCTGCACAGTTTGATTCTTAAAGGAGTGCTTTTAATGTTTTTTGAATTTGTTCTGATGTTTTTAGTGGTGGCCGTCTCTACCAGTTTGGTAGTGCAGACGCAGTCCCAAGGAACTTCATTTCTAAAAGCTCTTTGCTGTCCTAATAAATTGCTGTTAGATTGTAGAGTTTACTACCTATACGGTTCATGGAAGCAAATGAAAATACAGATCTGCTTCTAAAACACTCATCCATTACTTACAGTAAAAATAAATGTCATAAATATTGCAAAAGATATCTTTAACTGTTACTTTAATTGCCTGGCTGTATTTCAGCTGTTTTTATTTAGTTAAGACTTGTATTTAAAAATATGCCTCATGATGGGTTGTAGATAACTCAAGATTGTCCACCTTTTCCTCCAATTGTGCATACTGGGAGCTACTGTCGTAGAGGGAACATGTGAGAATAAATTCCAAGGTGGTGTTCTCATGGAGTTCAATATGACAGTGTTTGGGGGTTTTGCAATGACTTTTTTTTTCCCCATGATCTGCACTTTAGTCCTGGATTTTTTTCAATGTTTAGTGAGGCTCCTGGTCATCCTCCTGAGCAGGCTATCGAGTTTGAGGGGATGAGTGATTTCTGACCAAGATAACCAGAGCAATGAAATGTTAAATCAAAGGATTGTGTCAAGGTGGCTGTCATACCAGCAGTACAGTGAATTCCACTGTCTCTTCCCCCCCCTTTCCCACTCTTCACTTCAGATCATAGTGTGCCGGTATGAAGCTGTATGTAGGCATACCCGTTGCCTGTAGGTTGATTTGTCGAATGATCATTCTGGCATAATCCACCATGTCCACAAAATAATGCATTAAATTCAAGAGGACATTTGAACTAAGAAAAATCCTATCTATATATATAATCTGAAGATTACTTAGGTTGAAATTAAGAAATGAAATCTTAAGTTCTTAAGTATGTAGCGCTCTCTCAGAATGCTGTAGAAGGGACCAAAAGTTAAAGATACAAACCATAGCTGGACAGAGATTAGAAAACCAAACAAAAAGACTAGCTTTTTTTTGTCAGAAAATAGCAATTCAGCTTGAAGAAACTTGTTTTCAGTTATGATCATGTTTTGAGCCTTTGAAAAGGCTTCCAAGTATTGAGTTGTGTTTGTTTTTAAATGAAAAAGATGTTTTAAGATAACTTCTTCGAGGAAAATATTTTTATTTCACAGTTGAAGCAAAACTTTCAAATGCTACCTGAATTAATCTGAGAGTGAGACAGTTGGAATGTTTTCAAGATACTGTGGAGTTATTTTTTTACTTTGTTTAGAATGTGAAATTTCTGGACTCTTCAGTTTTTGAATAAGAAAATCAGGAGATGTCGAGTTCTAATTATGTAATTATGAAATACACATTTAATGAAAAACAATGTTAGTGTCTCACACAGCATGCTAGTGCTGCTTTGGCTGTGGAAGCTTTCTGGCAAATTTTAATTCTGTGCAGACTTTTTCTCTGGCACTTCTACTGTTGTTCTTTTCCTGCACTTTCAAAATGGAAAAGCTTAAGTCTTCTATTTTATATCTGGGTATTACAGAAATATGTTTACTCGTGCATATGCTGTCATTGTCTTGGATTTGGCACTGTTTCATATCAGAAGACTTGAGTGTGATATTTAAAAGGACTGGACTGAGTATCAAAGTACAGACCAGTTACGAATTGGAATGGGATATTTTTTCCCTGGAATGAAGGAATACTGTGTATTGCCATGAGCACATAAAGATGGTCCTGACCAACTCTGCAGAAGTTTTTCAGAACAGGAGAAGCGTCTTCCAATGTATCGCTCAATTCATATCAAAACTCAAATGTAGGCGTCCTAAAAGTTGAAAGAACAAGTGCTGTGTACATGTTGCACCCCTGTTGTCATTACAATAATCTCATGCTATTAAAGAATAAACTAAGAAGCTTACCCTGTATAAACCAAATTGAGCCCTTGTCTTCCTTCGATTACATTGGATTAGTAAATTAGAATAGATTAGTAAAATCCTTCTACACTAAGAAGCTTAAAAATGGAGGTAGATATTTTATTTAAAAAAAAAAAAAGTAATTTCCTACTTATATTGTACAGGGAAAGTAGTGTGCTTGAAGTAGATTTTGGTTTATGTGTTGTAGTTTTGAGTTTGGGCTAAAAACCCAACAGTAATAGGAAAAGAATAAAATTGGTAATGAGGGATACAGTCTGTATGCAGTGACAGGGTTCTGGCCTCTGTTTTCAGGATTTCCTTGTGGCACTGAAGCCAGGCTGTTCTGTTTGGTGCTATGAATTCTGTTTTGCAGTAACAAATGTTGTGGTGAGTTTCTAGGGCTGAGCGTTGTGACCAAGCTATATTTACCTCTCATAGCTAGAGAGGCTTCAAAAATAAAAGCAGATCTGTTCTGTGTAATAAAAGGCTTCCTTAGGTGGGTTGAGAGCTCTCACAATAAAAGTTCATCACAGTGTTTATTATTGCAAAACTCTAGAGCAGAAAACCTAAAATACAGCAAACTACAAGTGAAGTGCATGTTAGTCCCTTCTGTGAGCCAAAAAAAAAAAAAGTTTCGTTGCTGGCATTGATCTTAGAATTTGTACCACAGCGCACAATTGGTTTCAGTGTCAGGAAAATTAATTGCTCTCTGGTAATTTTGTGACATCTAGAAAACCGTGTTTCTAAGGATGTGCTAAAAGAAAATTTTTTTGAACGCTTTATGTGGTTTAAAACAGTGAATGTTTTTTCTGTAGAAACTGCTTGTTAATGCTGTCTTAGTTTAACTACGGACAACCTTTGCAAATAATTTTACTGTTACTGTGCAGTCCTGAACTGCAGAAGCAATGTTTTCTCAAGGCTGAAAGTTCTGCTGCAATTTTGTTCTGTGGAACTTGGATGTTACATTGCCCATGGCTGCATGTCTTCACAGCAGCAGGCAGCAGCCCAGCTCACGTGGGACTTGATCTGTTACTCAGTCTCTGCCTTTGTCCTCAGTTATCAAATAATGGACGTGGAGGGGAGGTTGTTTTGAACTCCAGTGATTCATAGTTGCATTAAGCCCTCTTGCTGTCTCACACACACTTCACCCATTCTTAGTCAAACTGTATATATTGTTTGTTGTTCATAAAGTGTGTCTGCCTGGTTGTTTATCCAGATTTGGAGGGCAGTTGTGTTATTCACAGTGAGTTTAGAAAGCTAATAGTTTTTCAACCATTTGACTCTTAGGATGTCCTAGATATATTAACTGTCAGAAACTAACTGTGTTGCTTATGCCCAACAGTCTGCAGCTATGGGGAAGGAGACAAGGGTGAAGAGAAAGACCTTCCATTCTACTGGTGCAGTTCCTGAGTCACTGGTTATTTGCTTCTTAAAACTTGCATGTTGAATATTTCATTGTCATCCTTACCTTGGTGACAGCTCAAACTATGATGATATTGCTGATGACTTCATATTTAAATATGCTCGTTGTCTGAAAGAGAATGACTGACTTCCATTCTATTACTACAATAATCACATAACCTGTTTCTCTTCTTGTAGTTTCTGCAGTCTATGATTCTACCCTCAATTTTAGAAATAATGAGAATCCAACATTGCTGGGAGTTCTAAATGGAAAGAAGTATCATGCAGATTTATATGTAAGGCAAGTAATCCATATGGTAATTCCTTTTTGGCATACAGAAGTGTGTACTTGCAGTCACAATTGCACAAGTAAGGATATATTTTCAAGTAGGTAAAAGCAAATCTCTACCAACCTGGTTTCACAGAACTGCAGATAAAAACTCATATGGGATGGGAAGGGTTTCTTGTAAAGTTCTGTGACTATAAATACGTGGGGACCCTATAAAGCTCTATAAGATTTTTCATTTGTTATTTTTTTTATTCATTTGTGTGACTTTTTGTCAGCTCAGCAGCAACAGTGGGGCCATTTTTCACTCAGTTGGCTGGAATACGAAGCATCTACTAAGTGTTAAGATGGAGTGGCTTTACATCTGTCTCTGGCACAATGGTTCCCACCCAGCTGAAGGCCAGGCTCAGGACTGTTCTGTCTCTTTGGTGTAGTTGTTGATGTATTTGACTGTCGCTCCCTCCCTACCAAGAAGGGGGTTGTTTAATGAAAGAACAATTACCTAGATTCTGTATCATTAATGTTTCTGTAAGTGATGAATACCTCAATGGCTTCCCATAATCTTAATGAGAATGAACCAATTCCAAGGCCCTTATTTCTAGGCCAGGTTCTACCAGCAGCACCCATGCTGCAGGCACTCAGGATATGTGATAGACTAGGGTTGGAGCATAGGAGCCTAGAAGTGATCCCTGTAGTGTTCAGGAGTTCTTCATAACCCTCATTATAGCTATAATTGGCTGGTCCAATTGGTTTATCTTGCGTACTGACATGAAGTGGAGCAGGGAGACCTTTTCTTCTTACCTCCCCTTTTCTGTCTCTCTTAAAAAATATTTTCTTCACAACTGTTTTTGCCCAAGGGTAAAAAGAAACTTTCTCCTAAT